ATTACTTCAGTGCCTTCAGCATGTGTGTTAATGGGTGTGTGTGTGTGTGTGTGTGTGTGTGTGTTTTCTTATTTGAACTTGGAAAGCTGTTCAAGATTGGTGTTTTCTTTGTAGAAGGTTTAAAAGTATTGATTTGACTTATGGCAACTCAGATTTTTTAAAAATGGGTTGTTCCTTATTGTAATTTTTTTACTTCTGTGTTTTCAAATTTATTGGATTAGATTGTTAATGCTCTTTGCTTAGTAGTGTTGTAGTTTTGTCTTAATTTCTCATTCTCAGATTTTTTTTTTATTTTTTCTTTCTTTGGTTTTATTAGTCTTTTCAAGGCCTCGTTAATCCCTTCTGTTATGTGTTTATTTTAAATTTTTTTTAGTTGTACGTGGACATAATATCTTTATTTTATTTATTTATTTTTAGGTGGTGCTGAGGATCAAACCTAGTACCTCACACGTGCAAGGCAAACACTCTACCACCGAGCCACAATCCCAACCCTATTATGTTTATTTTCAAATTAAATAATTTTATTCCCTAATGCTTTTGCTTTCTCTTTCTACTTTGAATTCTCTTTGTCTAATGGTTTTGGAGGGTGGGGAGAGAAAGAAAAAGAAAGAAATATGGGATTGCATTTTTGTTGCCCATGCTGGTTTTGTATATCCTCCCACTTAGTGATCCTCCCACTTAAGCCTCTTAAGTATGATGGACATACAGGTGTATACCACTTTGCTAGGCTTAGTGTTTTATGTTGTATGTTTAACACTTTAATTTCTAGCTCTTTCTTTCCCAGTGTAAATATTGGAGGCTCTATTTTTTTTTGTGTGTGTGTGTACTGTTTTAGGCTATATCCTGGAAATATTGATAAATACTATTTTTTTAAAAATATGGGGTAGTTATCTTTTTCTAATTATCTTATTATTTTTATCATTTGAATTTCAAAGTTTTGGGGCTTTTCTTCTAATCTACCTTTGATCCATTACTCTGTACATGTACATTTGGTTTTTATGTTCCCAATACTTTGGATTTTATGACTTGAGATGTTATCAAAATCTGTAGTTTCAATGTGTGTTAGAAAATATATTCTTCAACTCTTAGGTACTGAGTGTTATATATGTATATTGTTCAATTATATTACCTTTTTTTTTAAAGTATTGATTACTGAGAGAAAAACTTTCTAGAAATGTGAATTTGTGTCTTCTAAATTTTGGCTTTCTGTAATTCGAGATCATATTATTAGTTACATACATGTTTAGACTCATGTCCTGGTTAGTTGAACACTTTAAAAAATCATATATATGGTCTCCTTTTATCTCTCTCCTACTGATAACTGTTTGCTGTAATGTCTCTTTTTGTCTAGTATCAAAATGGCTTAGTATTTATTTATTTATTTATGTTGGTGGTAGGGGATGGTGTTAGTCTCTACTTTCTTTTTCTGATGTTTTATATAAATTCAGGTAAGAATTTTCTTAAAGAGAAAAAACCCCCACAAATTTAGAAAGAATCAACAAATGTAAGTATATATTTGCAAAAAAGATTATAACATATGCAGATTTTCATAATACTGGTAATTAAAAACAAGGAAAACAGAGCCATGTAAATAGTTACTAAATACATACCAAACCTTTCCTGGCTTTAAAAGCCAGGGATACACAACTGTAATTCCAGTGACTGTGGAAGTTGAGGCAGGAGCATCAAGATCAGCTGTGACAATTTAGCCAGTCCTGTCTTAAAATAAAAAGGACTGGGATTGTGGCTCAGCAGTAGAGCACTCGCCTAGCATGAGCAAGGCACTGGGTTTGATCCTCAGCATCATATAAAAATAAATAAATAAAAATAAAGGTATTGTGTCCACCTACAACTACAAAAAATATTGAAAAAAATTACTGGGGGATGTAATTTAGTAGTAAAGCATCCCTGGATTTAATCTCCAATAAAAAAGAAAAATACCAAAACAAAAACAAACAAAACTCAAACTCCAAAACAAAAGATTATTATTAATCACCTTATTCATATAAATTTGAATTTTGATGTATACATGCATGCATTATATAGAAAATATAATTAATCTAATTGTTGAGTGTAGAAATAGAAAACATGGACAATAATGTGAAAAAATCAATTATCAAAAGTCCACCTAAAAGACATCTATGCTAGATGTTTTCACTATTACAAGTTTATTAGACCTTAAAGTAATAGTTAACTGTAGTCTTCTAAAGGTTTTACAGTTTTATTTTCACATTGACATCCTTTGGCAACCTAGAATGATACTGTTTCAGCAAATAGGAAAGAAAGGTTTGTACATATCATTGGTGCCAAACCAGATGAAGGCAGTATAGAAAAAAGATAATTGTAGACAAACTATGTTTATAAACACAGATGTGAAATTACTAAATAAAATCAAAGCAGTTTCAGCTGTATATTTAAAAAAACACATTATATCCAAATAAGGGTTATCTCTAAATATAAAAAAAAGGGTTCAGCTTCTAAAGTCTACTTAAGAAATAGGCCATGTTAAAAGATGTCCCCCATGAATAAATAAAAGCCCCCCAAATCTCTATATAAGATTATAGTCAATAGTTCCATCTGTTATGTATGATAGTACTTGTTATTCACATTTTTGCTGACATATGGTTGTTTCAGATTTTTAAATTTTTGGCATATTTGGTTGATAAATAATTGAATATCCCTGTTAAGTTAATTTGCATTTCTGTGATTTCTTGTAAGGTGATAAACGTTTTTATTTACCAGCAATTTGTGTTCAACCACACTGAAAGTTTTATATGGAATCACACTTACTGGATAATTTATTTACCCAAACATGAGGCCCGTTTTAGTCATTTTTGTATCTCCAGCATCCTGTAAAATGCCTGGCATGTAGGGAATAGTCAGTGATTAGTAAACATTGAATATTGAGAAGAAATTTGTGATGTAAGCAATCTATTTTTGAATGCCTGGAAATAGAATAGTTTTGCCATGTCAAAGGAATACGATAAATACAAGGAGCTGAGATTTGTATTCTAACAGGTTCCAGGGGAAAAAAATTTCAGGGGTACTTAATTTATGTTACTACTGTAGGCTCCCATAAAATTTGTGTAACTGGTAATCCTTATTTTCTTTAATCTTAATTATTCATGATCTTATAGTATTCATTTGCTTTATGCTTTTAGGGTATATGCTATTACTTCAGGGCAAGATATTATTCATTTTTATTTTGAAAGACTGTCATCCTTTGTTGCTAACACATTATTTTGACAATCATATTCTTTTTTTGTTGTTGTTGTGACTGGGGATAGAACCTGGGGCACTTAACCACTGAGCCAATCCCCAGCTCTTTTTTGATAGTTAGAGGCAGGGCCTTGCTAAGTTTCTAAGGCTGACTTTGAACTTGTCATGCTCCTGCCTCACCCTCCTGAGTTGCTGGGATCACAGGGGTGCACCACTTTGCCCAGCTGACAATCATATGCTTACCAAAAGGAAATTTTAAAGTTTCTTTACCTTGTCTTTTTTTTTTTTTTAAATAGAGCATTGTATTTGTACATAGCATCTGGGTTCCTTTTGACATAATTATACACACAAGGAATTTATTTTCAATCCCCATTTCTCCTTCCCTTTCCTCCCCTACTCCTTCCCCTTTTTCTTTCTCCTCTATTCTACTGATCTTTCTTTCACACCCTTTTTATTATATTTGATTGATACTTTTTCCATATGCGTAAATGAGATATTCTTTTTTTGGCCATTTATATTTGTATATAACATGATTCTGTTAGATTTGTTCCTTGTCTCTCCCCCCATCCCTTTCTCCCTCCCTCTCTTCTTCTCCACTGTCTTCTCTATATCTTTATTGTATCAGATCCCCTCCCTGACTGCCTTTTTTCCTTAATTTTGCTTTAATGTCCACATATGAGAGAAAACATTTGACCCTTGATTTCTTGAGTCTGGCTACATGGTTTTCTCCATTTCCATCAATTTATTGGCAAATACCATTTTCTTAATCCATTCATATATTTTCATGTACCTCAATTGATTTCATAATTTAGCTATTGTGGATTGTGTGGCTGTATTGCTATAGTATGCCGATTTTAATTCTTTCGGATAAAGACCAAGGAGTGGGATAGCTGGGTCATATGATGGTTCCATTCCTATTTTTTTGTTTTTTTAAACAGAGACTTGACATTTATTGCACAGTTTTATCCCCAGCAGAACATGTGGCATTCTAGAATATATGAGGTAATAAAATCAATACTCCATTGAGACCATTCCTAGTTTTTTGAGGCATCTCCCCACTACTTTCCAAAGCGATTATACTCATTTTCAGTCCCACCAACAACGTCTGAGTGCACCTTTTCCCCTACATTCTCACCAGCATTTATTATTATTTGTATTCCTGACAGTTGCCATTCTTCTGACTGGAGTGAGTTGAAGTCTTAAGTAGTTTTTCTTTGCTGTTTTGCAGTTATGTTCATAGGATTAAAATATCTAGATTTCTGGTCTTTTAGATAAGTAGAATATTGCTTAGAGGAAGATGTATATGTAAAAGTATTCTCTAAGAACCAAACTGGGTTATAAAATAGCAGTAGTTTAGTGTCAGTAATGAGGCAGAGGCATAGTTTATATGCTTATAATTTGAGTGTCAGGTTATTTGGAGGGCTGTGTATTTGATGCGATTTTACATACTTTTGCTTTTTTTTTTTGTACCAGGGATTGAACTCAGGGGCACTTAACCACTGAGATACATCCACAGTCCTTCCTTATATTTTATTTAGAGACAGGCTCTTGCTGAGTTCTCAGAGCCTTACTAAGTTGCTGAGGCTGGTTTTGAACTTGTGATCCTCTTGCCTCAGTCTCCTGAGCCACTGGGATTATAGGCATGCACTGTGCTGGGCTATTTTGGCTTAATTCTTAATCATAATTTGAATTTTTATTGTATAAGTAATACTCATATCTATTGCATATGTAATTTGCATCACATTTCTAAGAAAGTAATTGATGTTGCTCTTTTGTTTCAGCTAAACCATTTACTTCTAAAGTGAAACAAATGCGATTACATAGAGAAGACTTTGAAATATTAAAGGTGATTGGTCGAGGAGCTTTTGGGGAGGTAAGAGATGAAGATTTTATAGAATGTTTGCTAATTGTTTTAGAAGGTGTTTAATACAGTTGTGAGATAATTTAACTGAAATATTATTTGCTGTTGTAATTGATGTGGTTGATTGGAAAATATAAGTTTTAAATGAAATATTTCTATATCAGGTGTTTTCTAAGATATTTCATATGTTAATGTAAATATGATTAATTTTCTGGACTCTTCTTTGGTCTGATTGTGCTTCCTTGTGCTAAACTGTTCTAAATTAGTTTATAGGAACTTTTGATATCTGATAGTACATATGACCTGACTTCTTCCCCCACCAGCCCATCTCTCCTTCCATTGTATTTTCATATTATTTTGAATCAGTTTTTCAATTTCTACTCATTTATAATCTCCCCACCATGCACTCCTGCTCAAATTTGAATTTGTTTTGCATTGAAATTTGAAATCAGTTTGCAGATAATTAAAATCTTAATATTGAGGCAGCTAATCCATGGATATGGTATATTCCTCCAATTATTTAGGGCTTTATAAATTTCAATAAATTTTCAGTCCATATAGAGTATTTCTGCATATTTCTGCATATTTATTCCTGGATGTGTGATATTCTTGATGTTATTTTAATTATAATGGTTTATTAAATTCCATTTACTAATTATTGAAAATATAATTGCAATTAATTGAATCTTATTTATTGCCCTTAGAGCTAGCAATTGTTTTAGTCAGCTTTGCATTACTGTGACCAAAATATCTGGGAAAGTTTATTTTGGCTCACAGTTTCAGAGTGTTATTCCATGGTGGGCTGATTCCATTGCTCTGGGCCCAAAGCGAGGCAGAACATCAGTACATCAGGTAAGGCGGGGGTAGGGTGGAGGAACTCTGCTTACTTCAAGTCAGCCAGGCCTGGAAGCAGAGTAAAAAGAGGCTGAAGGGCTGCAGGGAAGATGAACCCTTCCAGGGCATGTCCCCAGTGACCCACTTCCTTACCAGCTGCTTATAGTTACTCAGTTCGTTCAAAGTAGGATGTTCTGATTAGGCTGCAGCTCTCATAACCCAGTCATTTCACCTCTGAGTATCCCTGCATTACAATAGTATCTTTTAGGGGACACATCACATCTAAACCATAACATTGTGCTGCTGGCCCCCAAAAGCCCATGTCCATCTCACAATGCAATGTGTCCCCATTATATTAACAGTTTCAGCGTTGCCCAAAAGTTCAAGTCCAAAGTCTTATCTGAGTACTCAAGGCAGACTCTTGGCTGTGAACTCTATCCAAAACAAGTTACATATATCCAGTACACAATGGCACATAATGATTGTTCCATTTCAAAAGAGAAGAAGAGGGTCATAGAAAGAAGGGATGGAACCAATGAAACCAAGCTATGCAAACAAGTCCCACAACTCCATGTACATCATCTAGGACATAGTGGAGAGTTGTGCTCTTCAAAGGAGTTGGGTAGTTCCTCCCTTTAGACTTTGCCTGTTGCAACCCACATGGCCTCTCTTTTAGCCTGGCTCTCTCTGCAGCCAGTAACTTTTCTTGGTACACTGTCCACATTACTATAATCTCTTAATTCCTTGGGCCTCTCTTCCAGTTTTGGCTTCACCTTCACAGCTTCATGCATCACCCTCTCAAGGGGCAGCCCCGTAGGAATTCTGGCCCTCCTATACTTTGCCTACCCTCTAGAGCTTCTTTGAAATCTCAATAGAAGCTTCCATGACCCCTTAACTTCAGCATCCTACATTCCTACAGAACCAGCACCACATGCATGCTACCAAGGTCTGCTGCCAGCTTATACAATAGCTGAGCCTCCTGGGATCACAGCTTCTGCCACCTCTGAGTGCCTGCCTGCAATGCCAGTTATGGTGAAATAACCCCACCCCCTTCCCATTGTGAGCAATGTGCCCTCAGGATTTTTTCCTTTAGTTTTCCCTTCTATAACATTGAACCTGTAATGGGTATGCTCTTGCAAATTCCTGTGATGTCTTCAAGACATCTTTCCTGTTGTATCTGAAAAGTACTTAACTTCTTTTTAGTTTCATAATGTCTTTAACAGCACACCTTCCTTTGCCCCTATTTTCCAAACGCTTTTTGGTCAAAATTTAAGTTTTTTAAAAAAATATATATATAGTTTTAGTTGTCAATGGATTGTTATTTTATTCATTCTTTTATATATGATACTGAGAATCGAACCCAGTGCCTCACATGTGCTAGGTAAGCGCTCTACTACTGAGCCATAATCCTAGCCCAAACTGCAAATTTTTAAGACTGCAAAGTCTTGTCCCACTTGCCTACAGTTATCACCCTGTTAATTCATTTAAGCTAGAATGGACTGATTAGGTTTCAACCGTCATAATCTAATCATTTTACCTCGGAATATTCTTGCATCAACATAGGAGCTTTTGGGGGACACCTCATATTCAAACATAACAAGTTGAGTTGATTATACGTTTTTTTTTTAAAATATTTTTTTTAGTTGTTGATGGACCTTTTATTTTATTTGCTTATTGTTTATATGTGGTGCTGGGAATTGAACCTAGTGCCTCATGTGTAACAAGGCAAGTGCTCTACCACTGAGCTACAATGTACTCCAGCCCCTTGATTATACTTTTAAAATCATGAATTTTATTGATTTTTTTTAAAAAAAGATTTTTATTAGTTGTTGACAAATTTTTAAATTTTATTTATTTATTGGTATGTGGTGCTGAGAATCGAACCTAGTGCTTCACACATGTTAGGCAAGTGCTCTACCACTGAGCCACAATCCCAACTGAATTTTGTTGAATTTTAATAAAATACTTTTTATCTGCATCATTTGAGACACTTGTATTCTTTTTTCCTTTACTTGGTTATTGTGTTGAATTATATATGTTTATTTATTTATTTTCAAATGTTGAACAAATAAATTTGTATTCCTAAAATAAGCCCAGCTTCATTATTATCTATTATTATTTTTTAATGTATTAGTGGATTTGATGTGCTGTTGTTTTTATCTCTTTTCCCCCCCTTTGTTAGATTTTTGCGCCTATTTCTTGAGAGAAATTGGTCTGTAATTTTCTTGCTTCAGATTTTGGTATCTTGATTATGTTGGTCCCATAAGAAGAGGGAAGTAAGTACTCCCTCTTGTTTTTTTCCTTACATGCTTATAGGTTTTCATTTATGAAGCTATTTGGCTTGGAAGTTGCTGGTTAGACAGTCTAACATAATATATTTAATTTTTAAAAATGGAAACAAGACTACTTTCTGTTATGTGTCAATTTTGGTAAGTTTATCTGTATCATTTCGTTTTCAAAACTTAATGCCATATGGATCATGTGTATTCAAATGAACATTTATTAATCTTATTTTTGATTTGTCTTGCTAGGGGCTTATCAGTTTTATTTTCTTTTCAATTAATTAGTTTCTGGCTTTTTGATTTTGCTACTGTGAGCTTGTTTTCTGCTTCATTAATTTCTGCTGTTTAATATTTTCTTCTACTCTTTGATTTTCATTTACTGTATTTTTTTCTAATTCATTGAAATGGATTAGAACATTGGTTTCTAGCCTTTTTCTTTTATTGGAAACATTATAGCTATACAGAGTAGTTGGGTTCATTTTGACAAAATCATAACATGCATGGAATTTGATTTCAGTCTTCCATTCCTCTTTCTCCCCACCTTCTCCTTTATTTTACTGATCTTCCTTGCTCTTGTTTGTTTGTTTGTTTATTTATTTATTTAGGTACTGGGGACTGAACTCAGGAGCACTCAACCACTGAGCCACATTCCCAGCCCTATTTTGTATTTTATTTAGAGACTGGGTCTCACTGAGTTGCTTAGCGCCTCCCT